CATCATCAAACATTTCTGCACAATCCGAGTTTCAACTGTGTGTCCACGCTGGACAAACACAAACTTTTATTAACAAGATGAACACTGTCACAGTGATGTGTGGTTACTTTTGCTCCTACGGGAGATGGTTTTTCAATTCCTCATCGCCTCCATTTTGTATTTATATAATCATGTTTATGTTTTGTTCAGAGGGAGAATGTAATCTGTTCTGTCTGTCTGTTTATTAGCTGTCCATAGTTATGAGGATATATTTCAAAGTTTTGAGTCATAGTAGATATTAATAACAGCTCAAGTTAAAAAAAAAAGAAGCTCAAGCTTGGCTCAAGCTCACACCAAATATGACGCCACCCCCAAACTTAATATTACCAACAACTTTTCATGGATCGTAACAACTGATTGGCCTTGGAGTACATGAGTGGTTCGCACTAAGCATTTGACTTTGACGTTAGTTAATGTCATGTGAGGCTGTGGTAGGCAGCAGGCGGACCCAAATGCAGGACTCACACACAAAAAAGTGAACTCAAAATGCAAGCACAAAAAATGAACCAAAATCCTTTAATTGAAAACTAGCAAAAGATTACTGAGAAACTAAAACTAAAAACTCAAGGAAACCAGGGACAGGGAACACGGAGAGCCTTTCACACACGATGTGACACAGAGCAAGGAAACCACAGTGCTAAAATACACGGAGGGATAACGAGAGAATGAGACACAGGAGGAGAGTACACCTGGGAGTAAGCAAGCGCAACAAGACCCGGGGAAGCAAAAGACACACTGACATGAGACACAGACTTGCAAAGTAAAACAGGAAACATAACACATAGTCGCGGACTTGACAAGGGAATATGGCTGACAGGGGAGACAGAGCAACCATGGAACACAGAGACAGAAACCAGAATACTACGAACGCTAACATTGAAACCAAAAGACTAGCAATGATAAATACTGACAAAAATAATGCAAAATGCAAAACTCAAAACACTAGGTCACTGACCCAGGACCCTCACAGTTAAAATGTATGTATTAACCAGTAATATGTACTCACCACAGTTATCATATGTGTACAGATATACACATATGATAACTGTGTCAGTTGTCAGGTATGTTGACTTTCTTTCCAGTCCTTGGATTCAAATGTAAAACGGTGAATGGCCTGTACTTAGTATAGTAGTGATGGGATTTCCGGCTCTTTTTAGAGAACTGGCTCTTTCAGCTCGGATCACTAAAAAGAGCCGGCTCTTTCGGCTCCGAACTGGCTCTTCAGGTTGTTTTGTTGCTTTCATTAATTTATTATAAACAATAATATAAAATTATGCACAAAAGGAATTACTAATGTAAAAAAAAAAGTGGTTTTATTTCTATATGTTTATATATAAATATATGCGGTGGCCCCTAGAGACAAAACACGTACAAACTCCAAAACACATTTCTAGCATGAACTGAACTTCCTAAACAGAGCTACTAGATCACTTAAATTACACAACTGAAAGCATATGTGTATTGTTTGTGTATTTATACACAAGCACTCATATATATTCAAATAATAAAACTTCGTTTACCTATTACTACCACACACCAAATCGGTCGTTGGTACTTGCTGGCTTGTGTAGCCTCTATGAACAAAAGCTCAACACTGCGCCCAGCATCCTGGAGCACTTCTGTTGTGTTTTGTACGTGTTTTGGAGTTTGTATGTGTCTAGGGGCCACCGTAAATATACTTTTATTTATTCACTCCACATAAAATGTAATAGATAAACCATATAATACAAAAACCAACTAGTCACATTTCAACTTTGAACTATTTAAATTTTCAGATTTTCCTTTTAAACAAATTTAAAATGAAACAACACAAAACACTGCAAACCACAACACAATTAAATATAAATTAAAATATGAAAACAAAAAGAAGATGCACATTCTCTGTCATATGGACCTGCATGAATAAACTTTCTGAATCCTTTATCATTTGCAACTGAAAATAGTTGTGGATGATCATATACCTTTCTAATGTGACGTTGTTGTCCCTGCTCTCTTTCTCTCTCTCTCCCTCCCGCTCTGTTCCTGTGCTACTGCGAGTGTAACTTTGATTTTTTTGTCAAAATTGACATTGAGCAAAATCAGTAGAGATATTACGAAATAAGCACAACATTTTGAAAGCAGCTGACATCCGAAAGCCCTACAAACACATCCATAAAAGCCTGTCAGGCCCTTTGTGATAACAAATGTTGCCAAATTAATAAATACCAAAACTAAAGATATTTCCTTTTTTATTGTGTTTCATTTAATCTTCCAATTACAGTTTCAGGTCCCCCTCCCCCCCAGGTCTTATTCGCACGCTACACCAACTTCCTGCCCCTCACCTCCCCACATTGAAGCAGCTGCAGAGACGTTCTGCAAAAAGCAAAGGAAGTGAAAGTAGGTTTCTGTATGATCCAGATCACGGTAAACTGTTAAATAAACTATAATTTCAAATATCTGTAATTATTTTTGGGGTTTCTGCAAGGTGTTTCAGTGATTTTACAAATTCAGTAGTCAGGCAGTGTTTTGCACCATCAGAGTTAATCATTATAGTCAAGTCACTGTTTTGTGTTGTGCTGGAAGACAAACGTCTGCTCAGCCTGCAGGACCACCTGAAGTTAAAGTTGAATTTATCAGAGATTTGGCATCTTCAATGCCAACTATTAAACCCGAGTCTTTGATCCCCATGATAGAACAGAGAAAACCCGACTCAGGAGTGGTCAAAACATTTATAATTCTTTATTCAATCCAGGACTCTAGACTAACTTTTTGCCATGGGCGCACAAAAGTTAGGCGCACTCAAATTTTTCAACCGCATCTCTTAACACCGCAGTTTTACATGTGCACTTTCTTTGGGGGGGGAAGTCCATACAGACAATATTAATTTCTAAATTATTAACTAACAAACTTGTGCTTAAAGTGCTTTGTCAATATTGTAGAAAATGTTAAACTTAATCATCATCTCGGCCTCCTCTGACGACCTGTTTGCTGCTGTCTGTTGCTGAAAGGCAGTGGGGAGAGGGGACACTTGGGCAGTGCATTTATTGCAGCATATAATGTGTTTCCTGGATACACTGTGCTTTTTCAGCATTCAAAGATTGATGGCACCGTGTCAGAGCACTGGCTATGAATTTCAGACGGATCAGGCCTTAACTTAACAAAAAAAGTTAAATAGTTAATTAATAGTTTTTTTCATCTTTTCTTATTATCTCATCTACACCAGACTCTTCAACCTCTCACTGGATCAGGCCGCCATCCCATCCTGTCTAAAATCAGCCACAATCTTCCCAGTGCAGAAGAAGTCTCCCGTCACCAGCCTGAACGATTACCGCCCCGTGGCCCTCACGCCGTTAATGCTTTACCATCCCAGTCTACTGTGTATGTGCTGATCAAGAGTGAACATTTCACATTTTGATTAGACACTGATTTAAACATTGAACCTATAATTTATTCTGGCTTTTACATCTAATGTTCAACAGCATAAATTATATAAATATGTGAGGTTTTTATTCAAACACTAATCCAACTTCCTGTCTGTCATTTACATCCTCACACTGAAACATGGATAAGTTCAAAGAGCAAATGAAATGAATCTAGGTCTGATAGGTTTGTAGCTTGAACCCATCCGCTGGAACGTTGAAGGCAATATAATTACACTGCAAAGCAAGACACAAGTAGGCAAAGTTCTTCATGTTTCTCGTGCACGGGAGAGAACCGGACAGGCGCCGTTCCTTCGCTTGACCCCAGTTGCTCTCGTCCGTTCTCCCGTACCACTGTCCTTTTATTGAGGTTACATGAATATGCATAGGTTCATTAACATATGACGTCTACATACAAACAAAGAGTACCTTGCCTGTGTGTGTGTTGGCGTATGTGGTGGATGTGTGTGTGTGTATGTGTGTGTGTGTGTGTGTGTGGGTACTGCTGATCAAAGGGTCATAAAAGCACACAAGCAAACATCCTTGGTCAGGAAGAGGGTAAACCCCCCCTCATCCTAGATAACACAGTAAGGAAGTCCAGCAGTTCATTTATACACAAAAAGCACTTAGACTAGAACAGACGTAACTACGTTAATCCTACCATAAAACAATAAGAGAAGGTATGACCTCTCTCGTGCTCCCAGGATGTGGGTGTGCATTCTAGTGTGGAATACACACCAAGCCTTTGCAGCCTGTTAAAGATCACACACAATTAATTATATGCCTCTAAGTATACATGGTTGAATATTTGTAAGCATAAATGACAATCAACAATACAAACTCTAACAAGGTCTGTATATAATCATGAATTCATGCTGAACTATTGAATAAACGATATTTTTAAATGTATACATTCATGTCCACCTGTTGGCAGCTATAAATCATTTAATTATTAAAAAAAAACTTCATGGTAAGTTAGTTGTTTGAGTGAGTCCTCATATTCATGTCTTGTTTCCCATTTTGCTGGAAGAAAGGGAGCCTGCTCAGGGGGTGGGTGCAAGTGTTGTTTATTTGACATATTAAGTGGAATTATTATATTTAAAATTAGAATTAAGTAAAACTTCAAACTAGGCACTGGGTAACAGATTATAGAGAGATAGAGAGAGATTATATTTGAGAGTGTGTGTGTGTGTGTGTGTGTATGTGTGCGTGTGTGCGCGTAGGGGTGTCAATGGGGTGGAGCATATGATACACCCCAGGCAGTTTCCTTGTTCAGATTCACTCGGAAAATTAAGTCTGTGAATCGAATCTTCATAGCCTTCATTTTACCAACTAGCTGAGCTGAAAGTGGCCCTGAAGCAAGTAAGTAGATACAAACCTTATATTCTGTTTTTATAATGTTATCACAAAGCGCTTTTTATATAGTGGTAACTATATTTGTCTATATTCAGTTACCAGTCGAATAGATAAGATAAGATAAGATAAACTTTATTAGTCCCACACGTGGGAAAGGAAAGGAAGTGGACAGTGCAAAAGTTATATAGCAAAATTAGAATACAATAAGAATAAAATTGTCACGGTTCTGGGTCCGTTGGACCCAGTATTTTGAGGTTATTGTGTTTTGATTTAAGTTTGCATCAGGGATTGTGTTCTTGTTCTCTTGTCGGGTTATGGTAATGTTTATGGTGATGATTATGATTTCTATTATTAGAGTTCCATGTTTCTGTTTATCTGGGTTTAAGATGCAGGTTTAGTTTCATATGTTATTTCCTGTCTGTCTCTCGGTGTCGAGCCTGCGTGTGATGTTTTATTGTGAAGGTCTGTGTCATATGTGAGTGTGCTCAGTTTACGTTTCCCCTGTTCCGTCAGCTCAGATTCCTCCCAGCTGTGTTGCCCTCCTGTGTCTCATCCCCTGATTACTGGTGTGTGTATTTAAGCCCTGTGTGTTCTCCTGCCTGTTGCCGGTTCGTCTGCATAACTCCGTGTCAGTCTGTTACCCTGTTCCTTAGTTTGCGTCTCTGCTCTCCGTTTTGTGGACTTCAGGTTTGCTCTTTAGTTTCTCCCAGTTTAGGTTTATCATTACTCATGCTTCATTTCCTGTTTTTTCCACTGCCACCGTGTTAATAAACTTCACTCATATCGTCAGTTTGCTGCATTTTGGGTCCTCCTTTTCCTCCACTCCACACGGCTCACTCCGCCAGCCGTGACAAAAATACTATATAAAGTAGAATAAATAGAATAAAATATACAATAGGATAAAAATTTATACTTACAAGTTTATACTTTTTAGCACCTAATGGATAAAATGTTCATGTTACATTATTAAGTATTACAGTTACATTACAGAAAAAAATACTTGGATAATATATGTTTTGTTTGTGAATGTACTACTGAAGTATTTTTGGACAGTGAATTTAAATAGGTGTAAAATTGAGGTTTGGCGTTGCGTGAGCCAGTAAATTTCTTCTTTAAGGCCTGCCTTTCCATTCAGTTTAATTTGAGTAAACAAGTTTTGAAGGACCATTACATTTTTATCACTTATTTTTGTTTTTATCAGTCAAGCATATAGACTTTCCATCTTTTCCAATGCTTCTGTCCAGAATTTAATGGCTACAAAAGAACATTTTTAACCTTCCAACTTTTCACAGCATGCGATTCCATTCAACAGGTTATTTTCTGAAGAAAAGGACGGATATTTCTTTTACAGCAACTCCACCACACACAAAGTTAGATAAAGATGGAGAGTTTCGATGTGGTGATGTGGATGGACATTACTGTCTGCCTTTTTTTGACTATATTGCTCATCCTTTGGCTTTGTTTTGTGGTATGTAAGACATTATTGGGATTGCTTTCTTTCTGTGCCTCACTCTATGTTTCATTGCGTTAATGTGACTTAATAATTAATTATTAACTTATTAATTAATCAATTAAATTATTAACTAATTAACTTATAAACTAATTAATAATTTAATTTTCCCTACAGGTACGAAGGCAGCAGGTTCTGGTCACCTACTACACAAATCTCTTATTCTCCAATCTAATCCAGTTCAGTGTAATGATCTTCTGGAAGTCAAACAAAGACCATGAATATTACACCACTGAAATTATTTTTATCGGTATTTACCTCTTTGGTTTGATGGCTAATCTTGAGTTCAAGATGTGCATTGCTGCTGAAAGGTATCTGTCTGTCTCTTTGTGCATTTACATGTCTCTGAGCATTACATTATACTCTAAAGAGTCCTTAAACAGAGAAATGTTCACTGTGATATGAATGCATGTCTGTCTGTTTTGTGTTTCAGGTGTTTCCTCATCACCTGCCCACAGATGAACTGTATCAGACAAACTAAAGGTTCTTTGCTGGTCTCTGTTCTGGTCTGGATCCTTTGTGTTATCACTGCACCTCTTTGCATAGTTTTGAACCAGCAATTTCTCATCACTATTTTGGTCTTCAACCTCTCACCTATGTTTATCCTCAGTTTTGCTTGGACCCTCAGAGCTCTTCCTTCTGCCACCTCAGTGCCCACAGACGAAAAACGAAGAGTTTTAGGAACTTTAGTTGTGTTGCTGCTTAACCACTTTCTCATGATCTTTCCCATGGCCGTTTGTTATACTTCAACATTTAGATATCGCATGGGCTTTCCTGATGGTGCATTCATCTTATTTCTGCTCAGTCCTTTTATGGACTTGGTTCTGTTTGTTTTCATGCGTAAAGGGCCCATTGATAGATTGCTGGCAGGTCTGTGTTTCTGCGGTATGGACAACATTGCAGGAGATCTCAGTGTGACACCAACAGTGACAACACCAGTGTGATAATCTGACTGACATAAAAGGAGAGAAACGTGCAGGAAACAGTGGGAGAGATTAGAAATGATGAAGAAACAAACAAAAACCATCCTTTAATAATCCATGAAATGAAATTCAGGTCTAGGTTTTAGTGGCGGTGCTCTCAGTAGAAGCTCTGCTCTTGTTAATAGTGTTTGATACTTCATATCCACATTGATTTTTATCTGCAAATAATATGGTATTTTTATATTCAATATGCATTATGTGATGTCCCTTTGTAAATTTGGCCCTTTTTTATTAAACAATTCCTTGCCTTAAAGGTCACATGTTTATTTTCTGGACAGTTTCCGTTTTCCTTTATGATATTTGTATGATTTGGTTGTGGATGCATAATGCTTATATCACAAAAACTTTTAAAATGTTATGTTTTATATTCATTGTAAACTTAACCTGGAGGTTAAGAAAAGTCAGTTTTTCATTTAGCCTATTGTTTGCTGGGTTCTTTTAAAATCATTTCCAGTCCTGTCCTCTTAACCTCAGAGGCCAGTGTTTTATCGAGCTCTGTTTTAGCCTTGCAGCTATACAAATAAAGTGTATTAGGCCTTTCTTAAGCCTTTCTTAAGGTGTTTGTGGCTGGGACAATTTCTCTGGAAATGTGAGACAAGGCTGAGCAGCAGAAGACACCTTATAGTGTCTTCCTAAAAATGTGAAATTAGAATACTACCCACAACAAGGAGTATATACCAGTGGTCCCCAACCATTTTTGCACCACGGACCGGTTTATGTCCAACAGTATTATCACGGACCGCCCTATAAGGTTAAAATACAACAAATACAACAAAATAAAACCAGTACCGATACCAAAAAAAGAAGATTATTCATAACACATGGGAAAACACCCAGGGAAGCGGAGTTAATGATAAAAACGATTAAAAGATAACAATTAAAACTGATAAAAACCATTGATTTCACACCCGAGCCTTAACTCTTGCGGCCCGGTACCAAACAGCTCATGGACCGTTAACGATCCATGGCCCGGGGGTTGGGGACCGCTGGTCTATACTACTAGGTGCATTTTATATATTTAAGGGTTTCCTATTTAATATTCAGTTTTTTTGTTTCTTTTGAAACCCTCAGTCTATTTCAAAGAGGAGAGTACGTGCTCTTACAGTTTTCCCAGGCTTGCTCATATGGGGGTTATATGATTGTTGTCGTTTTCTCTGTTTTCTTGCATTGTTGTAGGGTCTTTACCTTAATCAGCTAAATTTCTCTTACACATCATATTTATGTTAAAGTGTACAAAATGTGATAATATGTTAGATCTTCTCTAGAACTATGATACTGATGAGAGTTCACATTTGATGTTATTCACTAATTCAGGCATCAACTGCAGTCAGATACCAGGAAGAGCAATTGTGGCTTGTGTTCACATTTGTTGTGGTAAAGCTTACAACTTAACCTAATAATAACACAAACTAATTTTTTGATAATATAAAAACAAAATGGAGACAAAGAAGAATTGTTCACCCGTTTCCTGTATGAAATGAGATGAGAAATGAGCAACAGCAACATCACAGGGAAACATTTGTGGATGAAATATGAGTCACCGTGGTTACTGTGACACCTTTCAGCTTGTGGGTAAAAGCTCACTTTTATAATAATAATGGATTGGATTTATATAGCGCTTTTCAAGGCACCCACAGCGCTTTATAATGCCACTATTCATTCACTCTCACACACTGGTGGAGGCAAGCTACAGTTGTAGCTACAGCTGCCCTGGGGCAGACTGACAGAAGCAAGGCTGCCATATCGCGCCATCGGCCCCTCTGGCCAACACCAGTAGGCAGTAGGGTAAAGTGTCTTGCCCAAGGACACAACGACAGGACAGAGAGCCCGGGGATCGAACCGGTGACCTTCCGGTTACAGATACGCTTCCCAACCCCCTGAGCCACGGTCGCCACTTTTGTCAAGCAACATACAAAAGCATAATGAATAATAATAATGGGCTCTCTGTCCTAGTCGTTGTGTCCTTGGGCAAGACACTTTACCCTACCGCCTACTGGTGTTGGCCAGAGGGGCCGATGGTGCGATATGGCAGCCTCGCTTCTGTCAGTCTGCCCCAGGGCAGCTGTGGCTACAACTGTAGCTGCCTCCACCAGTGTGTGAATGAGAGAGTGAATGAATAGTGGCATTGTAAAAAGTGCTTTTGGTTCCTTGAAAAGCGCTATATAAATCCAATCCATTATTAAGGTCACAGTTCGAGTCTGTGAGGTAGTGTTTGTAATTTTGGTTTAAGCTATATTCTTTATAACTTGTATTTAAAATTTCCTAGTTTCTGTGCCTCCCTGTGTTCCTGCTGAGGTTTTTAAAACCTCACGATGTAACTACAGCCCAGCCCATGCATCAGTATATTAATGACTAACCTTATATTACAGTTGTTCTCCTGACTGAAGTTTGGTCCATTTACAGCATCATGCCATGCAATTGCATTGTCCCTAACTATCGGGAACCGTCACGTTAAATTTATCGAGTGAAAAAAAGTTAGTGTTCATCCTCCAGCTTCACTGTGTTTATTTTATGCTAACCATAGCTGTGTCACTTGCCACCACACAGCACATAATTATATACCAGCTAGCCCAACTTCAGTAACCCTACACATGCCACTGCTGTTTAGTTTTCTGTCGTCATTTATGTCAATATTGATAGCAGAGTTGTACATTTTAATTTTTGCTGTGGCAGTTAAGCCACAGCGGTGCAGACGGCGCTGTCTGCTGCCCTTGCAGTTTTAATGCCCAGAGTCCGCCAGTGCTCCGTAGTGGCTGAGACTGCTGGCGATAAGGAAAGGCTGCACTTCATAAAGGACTCATGCTTGGGGAGATGTTTTCTGGTTGACTCCGGCCCCAAGAAGAGCCTTGGGAACTCTTGTGTCGTCTTTGCATACCTCAAAAATGGTATATTATCTAATCTTAAAAAAATGTTTGGGGGGATTTCCTGCGTATCACCAGAGTGAGCCAAAGTACCACTAGTGGTATGCGTACCACATTTTGAGAAACACTGCTCTAAGTGATCAGCGTGAGAAATGGGTAGAACAATTACCTTCTCTTCCACTAGAGGGCAGTACAAATACCTGCTCTAATTAAATGGGTCGCCAACTGCTAGTAGAACAGAAGAAGACGAAGAAGAAATTGAATAGTAGTCATGCTGTGAGACGGCGCAGAGCGTAATAGCAGTAGATAAATATTTGAAAAGGAAAAGCAGTGCTCTGACTTGGAACCTGGAGAAATGCCGACCCAGATGAAGGCCCAGCATGATTATTTGTCAGAAGAAAGCAAAAAAGATATTGTGGAGACAAACCGAGCCAATTCTGCCAAAACTGGTGCACGGAGAATTAATGCTTTTTGTGATATTTTTGTTTGGTCTTGTGCTTTGCGATTTTCTAATGTGAAATATGTGCTGTGGCCCCAAAAGGTGTCAAGTCTTTTTTAAACGCTGCTACACTTGCTCAGAGGGGGTCACATGATTGCAGGGGTTTGTTATTGTGGAGTCTTTACCTTACATTATAGTTGCTGTTATTTGGCGCTATATTAAAAAAATAAAATAAAATCAACCATTCTTTTGTTTCTCCACTTTTGTTTTTATTTTAGCAGACTTTGTTTTTTTCTCTAATATCTTTAGCTATAATTTCACATCAAAATAACAACAATGTTGATCTGCTCACTATTTTAACACCTCCTGTTGCAAACAGGCAAGTCTTTTGGCCAAGAGAAGAGAGTGGGTGGATTTTTCTATAGCAGCTCCATCATACAGAAAGTCTGCTACAGATGGAGAGCTTTGATGAAATCCATGTAATCGTCCTGATAAACATCTATGCCTGCCTTCCTTTGACCATGGCAGTGAGCTGTTGGGTGTGTTTCGTGGTACGTAAATGAAGACTTTTAATACTTTCTATGTCTCATTCCTGCTGAACTAATTCACTTTTACAAACAGTCTAGTTTTATAAAATCTTTTCACTTTGGTCACTTTAAAAGTTCATTTTATGAGTTACAAGTTCATTAAGTTTAGTTCTGAATTCATCCGTCATCCATTTTCTGCTTCTGAAGTGGAAGCTTATCCCAGCTGTCACAGTGTGAGAGGTGGAGTGAAACCTGCACTGGTCACCAATCTGTCACTCTTTTTAATTCCATCAAACCATTTTGCAGCTTTTACACATATTTCAGTTTTTCGTAAGTCTAAATCACAGGATAAACCACAGACAGAATAAATAAACTCATTTGCTGTAACAAATCTCTTTAATTCAAAAAGGCATGTTCATTACTGCATCAATGTGACTTGTTGCATTAATATTTTCTGCAGGTACAAAAGGAGCAGGACCCCATCACCTACTATTATTATTATTATTCTCCAATCTAGTCCAGTGCAGCATGATGGTCCCTTTCATCATCCAACCAAACAGTGAACTATTTCGCATTTTTCAGTATTCTCCTCTAATTTTTTGCTGTGCTATGTTTGCTAGTATTAGCTTCAAGATGTGCATTGCTACTGAAAGGTACCTGTCTGTTTATCTCTGTGTGTATTGCATTAAATCAAATTCTCAAGCGTCCCTCTAAAGATAAATGTCCTCCTGTAATGATCAGAATGTCTGTTTGTCTTGTGTTGCAGGTGTTTGGTCATCACCCGTCCACAGTGGAACTGCATCAGACAAACTAAATGTCCTGTGCCGCTCTCTGTTCTGGTCTTGATCCTGTCTATTATCTCTGTACTTCTTGTTGCATTGTTCTGTGTGATTTCATTCACTTTGTTTCTTTATTTTTCCTTATTTTTTCCTTTATTTTGCCCTCGTCCCTTCTTTCCTGTTCATCCTCACTTTGGTTTGGACCCTCAAAGTTCTGCCTGCTGCCACCTCAGTGCCCACAGAAGAAAAACGAAGAATTGTTGGAACCTTAGTTCTCTTGTTTATTAATTATCATCTGACGTTCTTTCCCCTAATCTTTATTGCTTTCGAACTGGTTTTACCAAGAACGACAGGTTTTGGTTTCCAACATATTATTGTTAATATTCCCCTATGTTTATTTCTGCTCAGTCCCTTGATGGATTTGATTTTGTTTTTTCTCATGCTGAAAGGCCCCATCAACAAGCTGCTTGTATCTCTGTGCTGCTGCAGTATGGACAACACTGTAGGAGAGGTAGTTGCAGATACAACGCTGGAGCTACAAAACTGCAGCTACGGCACCGCAGCAGACGTAGCTGCATGGGGTGGCTGTAGCTCAGGTCAGCCTCTAACCAGAACGTCGGTGGTTTGATCCCAGTCTGCTCCAGGCTGCAAGCCAAACATGTGTGCCTTACGTTGAGTTTTATTATGTTAATGCTGCATAGTTTTCACGGTGGCTTTGGAGAGAAGTCTTCAAATAAACCAGGGACAGAAAACCACTAAAGTTACTATATAATCCCAAAAGTATTTGTAGCCCAGCTAGAAAAAAAGAGCAGTGGAAAGTAATTTTTCAGTGTATGATGTAAACAATTTAGTTATTTCTTTCTTCTTTTGTTTAAAGGAAGATGTGGACAAATAAGTATATCTGTTGTTGTATTACTTGGCCAATCAGCAATGAGCTCCCAGCTACCCTTGCTGTTGACCTTGATCATCATGTCATCGGTGAGTAAGAAGTGGGGAAAACCTAATTTGATAAGGAGAAAAGGGCAGACATAACGAGACGGAAAGTCCGCTAGCAGCTAAGCTAACAGTCTCTCTGGTGTGGTCCCTCCTTATTGGTGTTTATACCTTGGGCTCCTGCCGATCCTAGATTTTCTGATACTGGCTAGTGGGTCATTCTTGATAATAAATCGTAAGTTGGGT